TCAAAATTCTCAATCCTATATGTTACTAAAGAAATAGCTTCGCTTTTTGTTTTTGGATCTTCACTAGTTTCTGCTAATTAATATAAAACATCTCTTATTTGTGGAGCTTGAAATTTTATTGCTTTAACACTTTCAACACGACTTTCCCAACGTGTTTGTGATAATGGCTTAAGTGTCAAATTAGAAACATGATCTTGCAAAATTTTCCATCATTTTGTAGAAGAAGAAAATAATGAGTATATACGTTGTGTCACTCCAAAAAATGTAATAGCATTAGCACATGAATTAGCCATATCACAAATAACTAAATTAAGACTGTGACAACCAGACGGTGTATAAAATGCTCTAGAATTTATATCTAATAATCTTTTTTGCACACCTTGATGTTTACCTTTCATGTTAGACCTATTATCATATCCTTATCCTTTCACACTATTTACATCAAGTTCAAAATTTTTTAATATACTTGTGAGAACATTAAAAAGGTCTTGACCATAAGTATCATCCACTTTTATAAAATCTATAAAGTACTCTTATATTATTATTGGACTTGTTGAAATATCTACACATCTTAATATAAGTGACATTTGTTCTTGATGACTTGTATCTGAGGTACAATCAAGTATGACTGAAAAATATTTTGATTCTTTGATTTTTCTTAATAATGGTATTTCTTATTTCTAATGCTAAAACATTTATCAACTCATTTTGTATATTGTGACCAAGATAATGAGTATGAATTTCTCCATTTTGAATACGTCTAAGGTGTTCTTGCATTATTGGATCAAACTCAGCAATCATTTCAATTAAACTAAAAAAATTTCCATTATTTTCTTGATAAATCTTTTCATTTGTACCACAAAATGCCAAATTATTTTTTGAAAGATTTTTTACAATTATAATTCTTAATAGCACATTCTCCCAATGCTCTTTCTCTTTATTTATTTTCTCTTGTAAATATTTATCAATTGTTTTGTTTTTAAGCAATCTCATCTCAACATCAACCCAAATGTTCATATTTATAGCATTTCGGGGTGTTCGATTCCGAGTACCCTGCACTTTTTAAGGAACCAGAACTGACGTTTCTGGAAATTTGGAATCAGAACCAAACCGACGGTTCCGGTTCCTTGGTACCCGAGCCAGAACTTGTAACAACGTTTCCGGTTCTGGGTACCCTGTAAATTAGATGACCCCCAAAAGTTTTTAAAATGGCAAAAAAACCCTTAAAAACTTACAAATACCCCCCCACATGGCACTTGTTACAAAAATAATACAAATTAAATTCAAAATTACAAACTCCATTACTTTAAAAGGTAGATTCTCAAAAGTCAACCAACTTACTTTAAATGTTATGAAATAATAATATAAATGTATTCACATTACTTTTTCTGTAAAAAATTTTATTAACCCCCATAATATTAATTTAATTTTATATATTTTTCAATTCCTGGTTCCTGGTTCCGATTCTATAGGAACCAGAACTGGAACTGCACAGTAACAGTTCCAAAAATTTGAAACCGGAACCTACCCATTGACGATTGGTTTCTGGGTAGAACCGAAACCAAACCCCAGGGTACCTGCCGGTTCCGGTTCCAACCGTTTCTTTGAACACCCCTAGCTGATGTGGCCAGACTCACATGGAGAGAGAGAAAAAATTGATTAAAGCGAGTAAGGTAGGAAGGATCAACTTAGGCCAACGTTAATGAGTGATTTGATGCTGGTGATGCGTGTGACAAATTTATGTTGACTAACTCATTATTTTACAAATGGGCACTTGATTATGTTCATTAATTTCTTGGTGCCTTTTTCGGTTAACAACTTAAGGTTAATATTTTAACGAATTCTTGTTCTTAGCCATTAATAATAAATGAGCGTGCACGTTGTTAGTTGTACTATAACTGGGGTAAGTGGCTGATGTGGCCAGGCTCCATGGGAGAGAGAGAAAATTTGATGAAAGCGAGTAAGGTGTGGAGCCAACGTAAACGAGTGTGATTTGATGTCGGTGATGCATGGTGGCAAAATTATGTTGACTAACTCATATATTTACAAATGGGCACTTGATTAATGTTCATTAATTTCTTGGTGCCTTTTTCGGTTAAGAACTTATGATTATTGCTTAACGAATTCTGTTTCTTATTCATTAAATAATAGATGCTCACATTTTTAGTTGTTACTGTGACTGGGGCGAGTGGCTGATGTGGCCAGCTCACATGGGAGAGAGAGAATTTTGATGAAGAGAGTAACGTGAGGAAGGATCAGCTTTAGGCCAACGTAAATGAGATTGAATTTGTTGTCGATGATACGTGTGATAGAATTTATTTGATTAACTCATTATATTTACAAATGGGCACTTGATTAAGGTTCATTAATTTCTTGTTGCCTTTTTCGGTTAAGAACTTTAGTTATTGCTTAAAATTCTGTTTCTTAGTCATTAATAACATATGAGCGTGCTGTTGTTAGTTGTACTATAACTGAGACGATGGCTGATGTGGCCAGGCTCACATGGGAGAAGGAGAAAAATTGGTGAAAACGAGTAAGCTGAGGAAGGATCAGCTATAGGCCAGTGTAAATGGTGTGTGAATTTGGCGGTGACATAATTTATTTTGACTAACTCATTATATTTACAAATGTGCACTTAATTAATTTTCATTAATTCTTGGTGCCTTTTTTGTTTAAGAACTTAAGATTAATTGCTTAACGAATTTTTGTTCTTAGTCATTAATATATATGAGCGCGCACGTTGTTAGTTGTTACTATAACTGGGACGATGGTTGATGTGGCTAGGCTCACATGGAGAGAGAGAAAAATTGATGAAAGCGAGTAAGTGAAAGGATCAGCTTTAGGCCACGTAAATGAGATTGAATTTGATGTCGGTGATACGTGTGACAGAATTTATGTTGACTAACTCATTATATTTACAAATGGGCACTTGATTAGTTTCATTAATTTCTTGGTGCCTTTCGTTAAAAATTTAAGATTAATTACTTAACGAATTCTGTTCTTAGTCATTAATAATATATGAGCGCGCACGTGGTTAGTTGTTACTATAACTGGGGCGATTGGCTGATTGGCCAGCCTCACATGGGAGAGAAAAAATTGATGAAAGCGAGTAAGGTGAGGAAGATCACTGTGCGAGCGTAAAAAAAGGCGCAAGAAAATTAACGAACACTAATCAAGTGACCATTTGTAAATATAATGAGTTAGTAGACATAAATTTTGTCACACGCCAAATTCACACTCATTTACGCTCGCCTACAGCTGATCTTTCCTCACCTTACTCGCTTTCATCAATTTTTCTGTCTCCATGTGAGCCTGGCCACATCACCATTGCCTCATTTATAGGGACATACAACGTGCACGCTCATATATTATTAAGACTAAGAACAAGAATTCGTTAAGCAATTTCTTAAATTTTTAACCGAAAAGGCAACCAAGAAATTAATGAACATTTATCAAGTGCCCATTTGTAAATATATGAGTTAGTCAACATAAATTCTGTCACACGTATCACCGACATCAAATTCAATCTCATTTACGCTGGCCTAAAGCTGATCCTTCCGCACCTTACTCGCTTTGATCAAATTTTCTCTCTCTCCATTGAGCCTAGCATTAGACCGGTCTTCACAGTCACAAAATTAAACCTAAGTACCGTAGTTAGCGTGTAAGCAGGGTCGAATCCACAGAGAGCAATAACGACCTAATGTATATTTGAGTTAACGAAGAGAAATTGGCAAAATGATTGATTAAAACTAAGGAAACTAATTACTTGCAGGAAATTAAACATTAAATAAATTGCTACTAAAACACATATTAAAAGCGTTGCCGCTACGGTTTCGGTTTGACTCAACCAACTCTCACAATTCCTCTCCTCTCCTTCAATTTCCTAAACCTACAAGGCTAGGCAAATCAATAAAATATCTCTCGGCAATCTAGGTATAATCTATCCTGTCTCCTCGTCGTCTTAGTTACAGATCGATTGGTTAAAGACTATCATCGACTAACCGAAAAACGCTAAACCCTTAAACACCAGTAGTTGGTACACGTTAACATACAACCTACTAACTTGTATCATCCATCAACTATTACACAATAAAGCATTCCTAGTAGAATAATATTAAACGCTACTACAACTTGATTGTAATTAGTACCGAAGCAATTTAAGTCATAATCAACATTCATATCTCAAACCGACATTCAATTATGCGAAAAGTTATATATCAATAAACGTTCTCAATGGACATTATCAATTCACACGTCGAGTATCAGAATAATATTAAAGTATCGTAAACAAACTGAAACGAAAACAAATATAATCTGAATACAAGAAACTTAACCAAACCAACATTCGGGCTCATCCAACTAGTCGAGAGCTGAGGGAGATCGTGGAGTCAATCTCGATCTCCCTACACCGTAACAGACAACCGGGAACTCAGCCGCTCATGTGGTGATGACGAGGCTGAAACAGTGGAAACGGAGTTGATCATGGCGAAGAGGAGTAACCGACAGCGATATGATGCGAAGAATGGCCAAAAACGACCAACGGCCAGCCCGGAATACTAACAGCCGCGGTTCACCGAAAAACGTTAATTTTCCGCGGGTCTCCGAAAAACGGTGGCAGAATGGGATCCGAAGGTACCGATGGAAAGCTCAGGTGATGGGGAGTTCAGATCAGGTCCTGCGAGTGTAAAGTCGTCGGAAATGAGCAGGATCTGGCCTGGAATAAGAGTTGCGGAGGCTAAATCGCGAATTCCGGCGGTTTTCGCGGCGGCTGAAGCTGAAGTGTAGATCCGGCCGTGGGGATGAAATCTACCGTTGGGAGCGGGAATGTCGTCGAAAACGCCAAAACTGGTCGGGAAGACCGACGCGGTGGTGGAAGGTAAGCATCGCGGCAGCGCGTGTTTTCACGGTGGTGGCTTATGGGGGAGGCACGCCGGCGGAAGGTGAAGGGTCGCCAGCCTGGAAGATGAAACGTCGCCGCCGGCGACCAGATTCCGGGGAGGCTAGGGTTTTGGGTTGGTTTGGCGTGCGCGTCCTCCCTTTTCACGATGGCCACCTGGAAGTTTATCCCATTGCGGCAAATATCCATGGTCCCTGCATATTAAAAATGACAAAATCAACCCAAGATATGACAATTTGACCCCTGAATGGCAAAATAGAGACACATCAACCCTAGAAAATAAATCACATCCTATATCAACTTACACAATCTCAAATTTCAATCCACATGCCAAATTAGTAAGACAAACTCAAAATATGATTTTTAAACATATTCTAATTTCTCTTAATTGTCTCAATATAACTTCAATTCAATAACACATAGGGTCTTTTGTCACCAAAGTAGAGTCACTTTCATGACTCTAACACCTAGCCACATCAACCCCTCGTTGTTGTTAGTTGTTACTATACTGGGGCGATTGGCTGATGTGGCCAGGCTCACATGGAAAGAGAAAAATTGATGAAGCGAGTAGGTGAGGAAAGATCAACTGTAGGCGAGCGTAAATGAGTGTGAATTTGCGTGGTGACAAAATTTATGTCTACTACGTGTGACAGAATTTATGTTGACTAACTCATTATATTTACAAATGGGCACTTGATAAATGTTCATTAATTTCTTGGTTGCCTTTTTCGGTTAAAAATTTAAGATTAATTGCTTAACGAATTCTTGTTCTTAGTCATTAATAATATATGAGCGTGCACGTTGTTAGTTGTCACTATAAATGAGGCAATTGGCTGATGTGGCCAGGCTCACATGGGAGACAGAAAAATTGATGAAAGCGAGTAAGGTGAGGAAAGATCAGCTGTAGGCGAGCGTAAATGAGTGTGAATTTGGCGTGTGACAAAATTTATGTCTACTAACTCATTATATTTACAAATGGTCACTTGATTAGTGTTCGTTAATTTCCTTGCGCCTTTTTAGGGTAAGAACTTAAGATTAATTGCTTAACGAATTCTTATTCTTAGTCATTAATAATAAATGAGCGCGCACTTTGTTAGTTGTTACTATGACTGGGTTGAGTGGTTGATGTGGCCAGGCTCGCATGGGAGAGAAAGAAAAATCGACGAAAGCGAGTAAGGTGAAGAAGGATCGACTGTAGGCCAGCGAAAATGAGTTTGAATTTGGCGTGTGACATAATTTATGTTGACTAACTCATTATATTTACAAATGGGTCAAGGCCGTCTCAAGAACATTTGTGACCAAGAACGTTTGTGACTCTAGGCAAGAGTTACTTTAAGGGCTTTCTAATAATATAAGCACGTATTAAAAAATTATTTCAAATTTATTTTTCCTGTCTTTTGAAATGTAAAATCATTAATTAAATTTTTATATTCAAGTTTAGAAACCAAATCTTTTTCAATTGATAATATAGCTAAATTACCTAATCTTTCTTGTGACATAGTTGAACGCAAATAAGATTTTATTAACTTTAATTTTGAAAAACTTCTTTCTGTTGAAGCTACAGTAACAGGAATAGTCAACAGTATTCTATAAGCTATCCATGCATTTGGAAAAGAATCCACCTTTCTTATAAAATCTAGTATCTCAAGTGGTGTTTTAATTTCCACGTTTATAATTTCTTTTAAAAATTTTAATTCTGAATATAAATCTAAACCATTAATATCAGAGAGCATGTCATATTTTAAAAAGTTTTCAAGATTTAAACAATGTTTCTGCAAACTATAATCATCAAGCAATTTTAACTTTTCTATATTATAAATGAAACCAAAATTATTACTATATATTTCAAATGGGTAATGATATTTGTACAAACTCTTATATAAAGAGAGTTTGTACAAATTGACGTGGCATGTCACAAAGCATGCCATATGGCATTGGGATCTACATAACTTAATGTCACATTAATATTATGTGGACTCTCATGTCACGTGGCACTCACATAATTTGCCACGTCACTTTGTACTGACTCTTTTTGTACTAAGAGTTTGTACAAATATCTTTATTCATTTCAAATTGTTCAAACCTACTTTGAAGTAAGGAAATGACATGATCAACTAAATATGTGAAATTATTCTAAAAGATTCTTCAGCAAACAATTTCATCTCTTCGTTTTCATTCTCATCAAATTGTTTTTTCTCTTTATTGTACGTTTTTCATGAAATTTTGGTTTTATATTCATTTGCTCTACAATCTCTTCAGCAAAATCATAGAAGATGTAAACCCATTTTCTCTATATTTTTCAAAAAATGAAACAAGACCTTTCAACTGATCTGTTGTAACAACAATGCCCATATTTTTAGATTGTAAATATTTACTAACCGTATTAACAGCAAATAACATTTCATACCAAATATTCATGGCTAATAGAAATTCAAAATTCTCAATCCTATATGTTACTAAAGAAATAGCTTCGCTTTTTGTTTTTGGATCTTCACTAGTTTCTGCTAATTAATATAAAACATCTCTTATTTGTGGAGCTTGAAATTTTATTGCTTTAACACTTTCAACACGACTTTCCCAACGTGTTTGTGATAATGGCTTAAGTGTTAAATTAGAAACATGATCTTGCAAAATTTTCCATCGTTTTGTAGAAGAAGAAAATAATGAGTATATACGTTGTGTCACTCCAAAAAATGTAATAGCATTAGCACATGAATTAGCCATATCACAAATAACTAAATTAAGACTGTGACAACCAGACGGTGTATAAAATGCTCTAGAATTTATATATAATAATCTTTTTTGCACACCTTGATGTTTACCTTTCATGTTAGACCTATTATCATATCCTTATCCTTTCACACTATTTACATCAAGTTCAAAATTTTTTAATATACTTGTGAGAACATTAAAAAGGTCTTGACCATAAGTATCATCCACTTTTATAAAATCTATAAAGTACTCTTATATTATTATTGGACTTGTTGAAATATCTACACATCTTAATATAAGTGACATTTGTTCTTGATGACTTGTATCTGAGGTACAATCAAGTATGACTGAAAAATATTTTGATTCTTTGATTTTTCTTAATAATGGTATTTCTTATTTCTAATGCTAAAACATTTATCAACTCATTTTGTATATTGTGACCAAGATAATGAGTATGAATTTCTCCATTTTGAATACGTCTAAGGTGTTCTTGCATTATTGGATCAAACTCAGCAATCATTTCAATTAAACTAAAAAAATTTCCATTATTTTCTTGATAAATCTTTTCATTTGTACCACAAAATGCCAAATTATTTTTTGAAAGATTTTTTACAATTATAATTCTTAATAGCACATTCTCCCAATGCTCTTTCTCTTTATTTATTTTCTCTTGTAAATATTTATCAATTGTTTTGTTTTTAAGCAATCTCATCTCAACATCAACCCAAATGTTCATATTTATAGCATGTTCATTGCTTGTTTCATGACTTTTAAGCTTGGCACTAAGATTTTTTCAATCTTCACACCCTTCATTTGCTAATTGAATTGTATTTTCTTTTAAACTAAATAATTTACAACAAAAACAAAATACTTTATTTAATTCTTTTGAATATACTAGCCATTTTCTATCATGTTTTTCTCTATTTTGTAATTTTCGAATATAATGAATCGTAGAAAAGCGTCTAGAATTTTCATCTCTTGGAAAATCTAAAACTTGTCTAATTGGACATTTCTCAACTAATAAATCACATAAGTTTGTGTGTAAATTGTTCCATTGTACCGGATCATAAATATTTTTAATAGTTGTTTCATCTTTATCATTAATATTTTTATTTTTGTCGAATGGAATTTTTTTCTCTAAATTTTCATGATACTCTTCACTAGTATTTGATGAATTTGAATTGTTATCTTTAAAAATTCCTTCACAATTTTCAATTGATTTTTCATTTAAGTCTTTGTTTGGTTTTTCTAGTATTTGGTGTTTTGTATTTATAACAAATTTATCAAGTGCACCGTTTTGGGATTGAATTAGTTCTTCTATTCTTTTTTTTTTCCTTACGTTTTTCAAATCCAGATGCACACTTCCTAGTAGACATCTATATTCAAAGAATAAATAATTTAGAGCTCTTAATATTATTTTGCTAAAATAAAAATAATTATAAAAATTAAGAAGGGACTTTAGCACCTGATTTATGCTCCTGGTTTTCCTTTTTGCTGTGCTGATACTAAAAAATCTTATATTATTACCCTACATAAAAATAATAATGTAAATCACTTATTCACTTGATCAAATATAAAGTAAAATCAATTGAGAATGCTAAGAGTAAAATGATTTAAAGCTCTTAATATTACTTTGCATAAAAATGATAATGTAAATCACATTCACTTGATAAATTTACGTAATAGAGATGAGAAAGGAGAGATAAGAGAGTAAACTGAGTTGAGAATAATAAGAGTAAAATATAAGGAAACTTTAAGTGAAATGAGGTTTATATAAGAGATTGTTATTCAAATTTGGGGGAGAGAGGAGATGTGATTTGACATTTGAGAGTTGAAGAGTTCCCTGAAAGTGTTTCAATTTTCAACGGAAAAATGAGCCGTCAATTGTGTTTCATGTTTAGAGATAGGCATGGCTGATTGGATATATGGTGGGATTGATGAGAATTGAGAAATTATAAATATATTAAAAAACTTTCAAAAAATAATTTTGGGTAAAGATAAGCATAGGCGAGTATATGGTGGGATTGATGAGAATTAAAAAATTATAAATATATTAAAAAATACTTTAAAAAATAATTTTAGGCCCCCTTTTTACCCTTTTTTTGGGGGCTCACCTGTCTAGGGGTTAAGCCGGGCTGAAATAGGTACTTGATTAATGTTGATTATTTTCTTACAAATTGGTACTTGATTAATGCTCATTATTTTCTTGGTGCATTTTTCTGTTAAGAACTTAATATTAATTGGTCCATACTGAATAGTAAATTTGTAATGGAAACACGGCACATCATGATGACTTATTGGGGCGATAGCATAGGCAGGACCCGAGGGCTTGTGTTATTTTAACTTCAATCCTATAGTCGGTGTCAACCGCATTCATTGGCGCAAGTTTTTCAAATCTTTTTGTCAAGGACCTTCGCATTCGACTCTATTCTTTGGACAAGTCTAAATTGGAACGCTGAAGTCAAAGTTATGCATTGGAAATATCAAAGGTCAAATACTCAACTATTCATCAACTTATTCCTGATTATCAATTGTACACTCTCATAAGATTTTTACCATAAGTTGTATATTATCAAAACCGGAATGATAAATGAACTAATCCACTTGAATTGCAATGGACCACACATTTATCTTATCCCATAATGTTCCCACTGAGTTGTGTCTCCATTAACACCAGGAATCCATCCATTTGCGCTTTTTTGGCCCTTTTTCTAGTTACAAATCCATTGCTTCTTTCTTTACATGACTCTAAATTAATTTTTAATTATTGCTTAGTTGATTCATATATCATATCCTGATCGGCCAACTGACAAATATTTTTACGTACATTTCTTCTTATTAACCATATTAATATAAGAGTTCTATCGCTATAGCTATCTTGTATATAGATATAGCAGAAAAAGCATCCAACTGGACATTTGTTATCAGAGGTAGGCCTAAGAACAATTTCACTGGCTTTAATCAAAATATAATTCTAAGAACTTTTCAATTCCTTAAAACTCTACGCATTCTTTGTCATTTTCTTCTATATAGAATTTAATTAACTAGTGAACAATTCATGATTTGCGGCTTGATTAAGATGTTGTTCGTAAGGTTGGAAATCAAATCTCAAACCATTTCCTAAGATTTGAATAGCAGTTTCCAAGTCCACCTAAAGACGGATTCATGCATTTAAATTTAATACAAAAAGTGGAGTTTGACATACCACATCACACAAATGTCAACTCAATACAATTTTGTGACAAATGATGTAGCCTCCATTTGGTACTCCATAGGCAACTTCAGTGTTAAATCATAAACTATACAGTCTCAACTACATGGTTTACGATGAGCATTCTAGGTTCACAATTAAGCTATTGACCAGCAGTTAATGGATATTTTTCTCAATGGAGTTGCGGGATAATCAAGATAAGCTGCATTAGAAAACTAATTCTTTGCCTAGCTAGAATACACAATGATATAAAACTATATGGTAAAGATTCTAAGAAGACATCAAAATAATTAGCGAACTTTCAAGTTTCAACTATTCTGATTGGTCAAAGTCTTGTAGATGTCGACTCACTCCAACTCTTTGAGCACCTTGTATATATAATGTATGTATGATATCCATATGGAGGCCTACAACTGAGAGTTTAATACATCAGCAAATGGCTATCTACTCAACAAAGCAGTTGCTTAGTATATGTTTCTTATTCTTCATGGTATCATTTTGTTATGGAAGGGTAAACCTAAACCCCACATTAAAAACGAAACTTCTGTAAGTACTCTTATATTATTATTGGACTTGTTGAAATATCTACACATCTTAATATAAGTGACATTTGTTCTTGATGACTTGTATCTGAGGTACAATCAAGTATGACTGAAAAATATTTTGATTCTTTGATTTTTCTTAATAATGGTATTTCTTATTTCTAATGCTAAAACATTTATCAACTCATTTTGTATATTGTGACCAAGATAATGAGTATGAATTTCTCCATTTTGAATACGTCTAAGGTGTTCTTGCATTATTGGATCAAACTCAGCAATCATTTCAATTAAACTAAAAAAATTTCCATTATTTTCTTGATAAATCTTTTCATTTGTACCACAAAATGCCAAATTATTTTTTGAAAGATTTTTTACAATTATAATTCTTAATAGCACATTCTCCCAATGCTCTTTCTCTTTATTTATTTTCTCTTGTAAATATTTATCAATTGTTTTGTTTTTAAGCAATCTCATCTCAACATCAACCCAAATGTTCATATTTATAGCATGTTCATTGCTTGTTTCATGACTTTTAAGCTTGGCACTAAGATTTTTACAATCAACACACCCTTCATTTGCTAATTGAATTGTATTTACTTTTAAACTAAATAATTTACAACAAAAACAAAATACTTTATTTAATTCTTTTGAATATACTAGCCATTTTCTATCATGTTTTTCTCTATTTTGTAATTTTCGAATATAATGAATCGTAGAAAAGCGTCTAGAATTTTCATCTCTTGGAAAATCTAAAACTTGTCTAATTGGACATTTCTCAACTAATAAATCACATAAGTTTGTGTGTAAATTGTTCCATTGTACCGGATCATAAATATTTTTAATAGTTGTTTCATCTTTATCATTAATATTTTTATTTTTGTCGAATGGAATTTTTTTCTCTAAATTTTCATGATACTCTTCACTAGTATTTGATGAATTTGAATTGTTATCTTTAAAAATTCCTTCACAATTTTCAATTGATTTTTCATTTAAGTCTTTGTTTGGTTTTTCTAGTATTTGGTGTTTTGTATTTATAACAAATTTATCAAGTGCACCGTTTTGGGATTGAATTAGTTCTTCTATTCTTTTTTTTTTCCTTACGTTTTTCAAATCCAGATGCACACTTCCTAGTAGACATCTATATTCAAAGAATAAATAATTTAGAGCTCTTAATATTATTTTGCTAAAATAAAAATAATTATAAAAATTAAGAAGGGACTTTAGCACCTGATTTATGCTCCTGGTTTTCCTTTTTGCTGTGCTGATACTAAAAAATCTTATATTATTACCCTACATAAAAATAATAATGTAAATCACTTATTCACTTGATCAAATATAAAGTAAAATCAATTGAGAATGCTAAGAGTAAAATGATTTAAAGCTCTTAATATTACATTGCATAAAAATAATAATGTAAATCACATTCACTTGATAAATTTACGTAATAGAGATGAGAAAGGAGAGATAAGAGAGTAAACTGAGTTGAGAATAATAAGAGTAAAATATAAGGAAACTTTAAGTGAAATGAGGTTTATATAAGAGATTGTTATTCAAATTTGGGGGAGAGAGGAGATGTGATTTGACATTTGAGAGTTGAAGAGTTCCCTGAAAGTGTTTCAATTTTCAACGGAAAAATGAGCCGTCAATTGTGTTTCATGTTTAGAGATAGGCATGGCTGATTGGATATATGGTGGGATTGATGAGAATTGAGAAATTATAAATATATTAAAAAACTTTCAAAAAATAATTTTGGGTAAAGATAAGCATAGGCGAGTATATGGTGGGATTGATGAGAATTAAAAAATTATAAATATATTAAAAAATACTTTAAAAAATAATTTTAGGCCCCCTTTTTACCCTTTTTTTGGGGGCTCACCTGTCTAGGGGTTAAGCCGGGCTGAAATAGGTACTTGATTAATGTTGATTATTTTCTTACAAATTGGTACTTGATTAATGCTCATTATTTTCTTGGTGCATTTTTCTGTTAAGAACTTAATATTAATTGGTCCATACTGAATAGTAAATTTGTAATGGAAACACGGCACATCATGATGACTTATTGGGGCGATAGCATAGGCAGGACCCGAGGGCTTGTGTTATTTTAACTTCAATCCTATAGTCGGTGTCAACCGCATTCATTGGCGCAAGTTTTTCAAATCTTTTTGTCAAGGACCTTCGCATTCGACTCTATTCTTTGGACAAGTCTAAATTGGAACGCTGAAGTCAAAGTTATGCATTGGAAATATCAAAGGTCAAATACTCAACTATTCATCAACTTATTCCTGATTATCAATTGTACACTCTCATAAGATTTTTACCATAAGTTGTATATTATCAAAACCGGAATGATAAATGAACTAATCCACTTGAATTGCAATGGACCACACATTTATCTTATCCCATAATGTTCCCACTGAGTTGTGTCTCCATTAACACCAGGAATCCATCCATTTGCGCTTTTTTGGCCCTTTTTCTAGTTACAAATCCATTGCTTCTTTCTTTACATGACTCTAAATTAATATTTAATTATTGCTTAGTTGATTCATATATCATATCGTGATCGGTCAACTGACAAATATTTTTATGTACATTTCTTCTTATTGACCATATTAATATAAGAGTTCCATCGCTCTAGCTATCTTGTATATAGATATAGCAGAAAGAGCATCCAACTTGGCATTTGTTATCAGAGGTAGGCCTAAGAACAATTTCACCGGCTTTAATCAAAATATAATTCTAAGAACTTTTCAATTCCTTCAAACTCTACGCATTCTTTGTCATTTTCTTCTATATAGAATTTAATTAACTAGTGAACAATTCTTGATTTGCGGCTTGATTAAGATGTTGTTCGTAAGGTTGGAAATCAAATCTCAAACCATTTCCTAAGATTTGAATAGCAGTTTCCAAGTCCACCTAAAGACGGATTCATGCATTTAAATTTAATACAAAAAGTGGAGTTTGACATACCACATCACACAAATGTCAACGCAATACAATTTTGTGACAAATGATGTAGCCTCCATTTGGTACTCCATAGGCAACTTCAGTGTTAAATCATAAACTATACAGTCTCAACTACATGGTTTACGATGAGCATTCTAGGTTCACAATTAAGCTATTGACCAGCAGTTAATGGATATTTTTCTCAATGGAGTTGCGGGATAATCAAGATAAGCTGCATTAGAAAACTAATTCTTTGCCTAGCTAGAATACACAATGATATAAAACTATATGGTAAAGATTCTAAGAAGACATCAAAATAATTAGCGAACTTTCAAGTTTCAACTATTCTGATTGGTCAAAGTCTTGTAGATGTCGACTCACTCCAACTCTTTGAGCACCTTGTATATATAATGTATGTATGATATCCATATGGAGGCCTACAACTGAGAGTTTAATACATCAGCAAATGGCTATCTACTCAACAAAGCAGTTGCTTAGTATATGTTTCTTATTCTTCATGGTATCATTTTGTTATGGAAGGGTAAACCTAAACCCCACATTAAAAACGAAAGCAGTTAATCTTGGAGGTTGGCTTGTGACTGAAGGCTGGATTAAACCTTCTCTTTTTGATGACATCCCCAATAAAGACTTCCTGGTTCGTATAATGCTGAACTAATTGCACTTCAGACAGGTTCTTATTTATGTTCTATCGATAATATTCATGAAACTTGATTAACTTTAGTTTTGTTTATGTTTATTTTTATCAGGATGGAACAGCCCTTCAGTTTAAGTCGGTAACAGTTGGGAAATATTTATGTGCTGAGTTAGGTGGAGGAACAATCATAGTTGCGAACCGGACGGCTGCCTCGGGCTGGGAAACGTTTAGAGTAATATGCTTTTATTTGCCATGAATTTTCATGAAACTTTAAGTAAACCGTGCAAGTTCACTGACACATATATTGTTCCTTTTTTTGTGTATAGTTGTGGAGAATCAATGAGACCACTTTCAATTTTAGGGTCTTTGATAAACGATTCATCGGACTTGACGCCAATGGGAAAGGGATTGACTTAGTAGCTGTATCCAACACGCCTGGCGGCTCGGAGATGTTTGAGATTGTGAAAAACTCTGATGATGTGAGCCGTGTTCGAATCAAAGCACCAAATGGGTTCTTCTTACAGGTGATTTACCTTCTTCTTATGGTCATAAATGAAAGTTCTAGCCCTTATCAATTATCATGTTAAATCTGTATTGTATATGCACACAGTAAACTTTTAATACAGATACATGAAATATAAACATTTGACTTTTATAAAGTACTATTTGCAATTGTTTAGGTTTTAATCAAATCATATCACAAAACATGAACAATCATAGGCTCGAGGAAGATTTCATTCAGTTGATATAATAATAGATAGACATTATATTATGTTTCCAGTGTATGGTAGCTTATTAGCTTCTCAGAACGCAACTGGCAATTTGCCTATTAACGATTTTTGGGATTTCAGGTGAAAACAGAGGAGTTGGTGACTGCGGACCACCCTGGTGGGGGTGGATGGGGTGATGATGATCCCTCAGTATTTGTGATGACAATTGCTGAGACACTGCAGGGAGAGTTTCAAGTGACAAATGGTTATGGACCAAACAAAGCCCCACAAATTATGAGAGTAAGGATATACACACAACTTAATTCACGTCAGATTAAATTCTTAAAAGATGTTACTTATGGTAATATATGTCGCAGGAGCATTGGAGCACATACATAGTTGAAGACGATTTTAAGTTCATAGCAGGAAATGGACTTAATGCTGTGAGAATACCCGTTGGTTGGTGGATAGCTAGCGATCCAACGCCGCCGAAGCCTTATGTTGGAGGATCTTTGCAAGCATTAGACAAAGCCTTCACTTGGGCGCAGTATGGATATATATTTTGCATTCCAACTAACATTTCTGCTACTTGCACACAGGCTAAGCCTATGATGTTGATTGTGCCTTTCAGGAAGTACGGAGTGAAGATCATAATTGATCTACATGCGGCACCTGGCTCACAAAATGGTTATGAACACAGCGCTTCCAGAGATGGCTTTCAGGAATGGGGCTTAACGGACGAAACCATACAGAAGTCTGTTTCTGTTATAGACTTCCTAACTGCAAGGTTGAATTAATAATTTCGTAAAATTGTACATATTGTAATGTTTTTGTACTCACTGAGTGGACACATATAGGTATGCAAAGAGTCCTAGCCTTTATGCGGTTGAGCTTCTAAACGAGCCTCTCGCACCAGGAGCAACTCTGGATATGCTTAACGAATACTACAAGGCTGGTTATAATGCTGTACGCAAACACTCTTCTACGGCTTACGTTGTGATGTCAAATCGGCTGGGAGCATCTGATCCTACTGAGCTATTCCCTCTAACAAATGGCTTAACTAGAACTGTGATTGATGTTCATTATTACAATCTCTTTTGGGATGTCTTTGATGACATGACCGTGCAACAAAACATAGATTTCATCCACACAAATAGAACCGCACAGTTGAATCAAATCACTACATCAAATGGACCTCTTACTTTTGTCGGTAAGTCTCAACACTGAGAAATTTTTTCATTTTAGCTATGCCTATAATTTGCTTGTTTTATTTATTCTGATTATTTGATTTCAGGTGAATGGGTTGCTGAATGGCAAGTCAAAGGAGCAACAAAAGAGGATTACCAAAGATTTGCCAAGGCCCAACTAGGGGTGTATGGAAGAGCAAGTTTTGGTTGGGCGTATTGGACTCTAAAAAATGTAAACAATCATTGGAGCCTGGAGTGGATGATTAAAAATGGTTATATCAAGCTTTAGATTAGAACAGAACATCATCAAACATCAATTGAGGCCTCTTCTGAAGTCCGGTTGATTTAACACCACATGAATGAGGCCAACTATGTTAACTTTTTCTAGTATACTTTCAATAAAAGCCAAATAAATTGTAAATTCCCAATCACCAATTGTGGTCCTTAACCGGTCAATTCAATAATCGGTTTGAATGGTTGAAACTGCATTGCACGGCTGCATCAAGCCTATAATTTGCACTGTAAACTATAAGCTGGGGTGCTGTTAACTGGAAACCTAATGTGAACGAAAAAATTAGAAGAAAAAGCAAAGCATGAAAGAATAAATTTGTGCATTTTAACTGCCCTGCCCAGATTGTGCATTTTAACTGCCCAGCCAGGGTGTTCTTACCCGATCAATACTTTCAAAGTCATGAAAGATTAGTTGAGATGCGTGTAAATTGACCTGAACACTCCGATATTACAAAAAAAATAATGATACAGATGAATCAAATTAATGGAGGGGATTTTAGATGCTAGCCAGAAAGAACAAATTACACTAAACCCCCTAAGGTATACGCTAGAACATAAGCTCCCTATGACATTGGAAATAGCTCTCAACCCCCTATCGTAAGTAAAACGTTAAGACCTTTGCATTAAATTAAGTAGGTGAAGGCTAAAGCAGTAACTGCGAAAGGGAAAAATATAACAAATCATCACCATTGAATTAATCTAACATCATAAACAAAACAAATATCACATCCTCCACTGAAAATCATTGATTTTATTTTTTTGTTTTTATTTGGGTTTTGTCAAAGGGTGAATGGAGCAAAATTTGGAGGTGGACTCTTGGTTTGGCAGCTACTGTAGATGGCCCTGTCAGTGTCGGCGCGTTTGGCAATAACATCAACTGCGTCGTGGCAGCAGCTGCTCCGTGGCAACAACGTCTGGCCATGGTGGAGCCTACTCTGTGGCAGCATCGTCTAGTCTTAAGCCTAGCAGCCTTGTGCCTGGCTTTGGGGTGTTGAATAGTGGCTGCCATGGCTGCATAGTGGGTATGGTGGTGAGAATGTGAGTGTATCAAGGTATTGGATTTTTTTTATTAGAGTTTGTGGATGATTAGATTTTAGGTTTAAGTTTTTAATGTGATTGGATCTTTTGAGTTGTCGGTTGATTTGAGGGTTTGGGATTAGATAATTTGATTTTGATTTTGATTTTAGGGTTAATGTGTGGGTTTGTTGATTTTTTTTTGGAATTCTTATTTATTTTATATAAATTTAAACAAGTCGTAATTAATAATTAATCGACTAATTTCATTTTATTTTTGAATGAGGGATAAATAAGGAGTTTAACCAGTTTAAGTTTTGTCCGATAACAGAGTTCATTAACTTTGACGAATGGAAGGGGGTTGAGAGCTATTTCCAATACTAGAGGGGTTTAAAAGGAGCTCTACTCAGGCGGTTTAGAGAATTTCCTCGTCTCGAAAGAGTAAACGACTGTCATTTTTCCCACCCAAGGTTTGCCTTAATAACACTGTCCCGCCCAAAGGATTTCAAAATACCACTTTTTTATCTAAAGTTTATGTTCTGTTAATACCCCAAATATACTTCACTTTCTCAGCCGGTCGTTCGGTAAGTTATTAGGAGCTAAAGTAAGAGAAGTTTTGTAGAGTGGAGGCAGATGGATCGAATAGTGGTAATCGATTGAATATTTTTTGTCAGAATTAACCAAAAATCAGCTAAGAACAATAAACCTTACCTTTGCAGTGGCCGATAATCGGTGAGAAATCAGGTATCGGAGTAAAAAATGTTTTATAGAGAGGAGACTGGAGGTTTAAATGGTAATGATGAAGAGAATTTTTGTCTGCTAGAATTGATTTTAAATAGTAATATGATATTAACTTTGATGAAAAAAAAAAAGTATTTTAAAATTTTTGGATGGAAAAAAGTCATTAAAGAACAGCTTGGGTGTGAAAAGTCGTTTACTAAGCTAGAAATGATACGTGTTTTTGTGGGCAGCAAGCCAACAAATGAGACCCAAAGAAACAAACTTTACAGTGGAGTCCATAGGAGTGACAGCCTCGCTTGGCGTAGCCTTTATGCAGCTATCATGATAAGTTTTTGTCCATGCCTGCGTTAGTGGGAAACACTCATTATTACAAAAGAAATGAAATTAGATCTTTTCCATTAACATCCAGGAAAAGACAACATTTTCCCTTCAGATTTTTATTTGATTTTCATACTTAAGCTCATACAACATGTTATTGGAGATATTTTGTGTGAATTGTGATGGATGGTGGGTGCCCTGCTGCTTCCAGTCATTGCTGCAGAAGCAAACTTTGCGTTATCCCCCATCCCATCTGCTTAATTACCCACTTGCTGATGAAAACGTAGCTGCTAAGCAACCACTTTGCTTAACAAATTGTAAGAGAACAAACGATTTTTCATGTGTGTGGACATCTCAACGTCATCTGAGCTGGGCGCGGTCCCCAAGCTCTTGATGGGACCATTAATCAAATAGGCCCAGCTAGGAGACCTCCTAAGTTTAAGTAATAATTCTTTATTTACCAATTATTATCACTTGATATTTATGAAGTCAATGGGGACACTTCCCTAAACAGAAAAAGAAAGAACAATGGGTTTTGTTGGATTTTGGGAATACTATTTTTAGTATTCTCAAAAAAAGTTAAACAGTAAAATACCTAAAAACTTACAATATTATTCAACTTTATTCAATATTTTTTAAACTCCCTAAATTTATTAATTCAATTAAATACCCCTAAATATTTTTAATATTTTTGTTACGACGACTCCGGCCACCCTCCGGCGGTGGTGGTCGGTTGTCCGTATTTGAGGGTAGATTGGAGGTGTTTTTGTTAACTTTTAATGTTTTATTATAAGGGGTGTTTTGTAAAAAAACAAACATAGGGGGTATTTTATGAATTTGTAAATCCTACATCATAATACCCGCCCAATTCAACTTTTTTTTTTTACTTTTTTCAAAAAACTTTTCCCAAAAACACAAAATTGTGAACCAAACGGAGCCAATTTTCTTTTCTTTTTTTTCTTTCCAGAAAAAGATGGGACAATTNGGGGGTGTATTTGTTATTTTATAAACTTTTTATATATTGGGGTATTTAGTCAAATTAGCAAATCTGGGGGTTTTTTAGAAATTTTTAAATTTATAAAAAACTAAAATATTAAACTTTTAAGGGCATTTTAGTCTTTTCACTATTATCAAATGAAAATCACTAACAGAACATGACGGAAGGTACCTGTTTGTCGTTTTAAAACCTTTTAGGTACCAACTTGTCGTTTCGACAAACCTTGGGTATCAATAAGTCGCTCGCCCAAAAAACAATGAAAAGATTATGAATAATATAATGGCAGAACGAATTACACCTACCAATGTTTGGAGAAATGACAGATTGGTACCCAAAAGTTTCAAAAAGACAAACAGATGCCTTTCATTAGGGAAAAGATTAGAATGCCCTTTGAGAAATATTAGTCTATTTTTTTAATTATTTTTAGACCCTTTAAGTTTATTAATTCCATCAAATACCCCCAGAAAAAAGTTTAAAAATTAATAAAAACACCCCTATCTACCCATACTTGCCAGATTCCGACGGCCACTGCCGGTGGTAGCCGGAATCTGTCATAACGGTCTATGCCACCACCAAAAATGGTCGGTAGTTCACCGATTTGGCCTTTTTTGGTCAGATCCACCACGGATATGGCCGGAAAAGGCTAGATCTGGCCGTCGACGGCTACAACACTCCATCTTTGGCCGTCGTTGTCTATCAACGATGGCCACATCTTTGGCCGTCACTTTCCAGCCAGATCTGGCCTTTTCCGGTCAAATCCATTGTAGATCTGATCGGAAAATGCTAGATCGGTGAATTACTGGCCATTTACGGTGGTGGCCACTAGAATCTAGCAAGTATGGGTTAGTAGGGCTGTTTTTGTTAATTTTTAAACTTTTTTCTATGGGTATTTAATGGAATTAATAAACTTAAGAGGACTAAAAATAATTAAAAAAATAGACTAATATTTCTCAAAGGATATTTTAGTCTTTTCCCTAATGGAAGGTACCTGTTTATCTTTTTGAAACCTTTTGGGTACAATATGTTATTTCTCCAAGCCTTGGGTAGGTGTGTCGTTTCCCCGAATATAATAGTGAATAGTGAATACTTATAAATAATATAAAATAAAAGATTCTTAAAATGTGTATGACTGTAGTCTGTATGTGCATGACAAAACATTTTAAATTTCAATTTTTTTTTTTAATCAGAGTTTTTAGCAACTTATACGCATTCAACTAATCTCGGGTTCATTGAATACCTATAACCCAAAAAATTAAGTAAGTTTTAATATTTTGTGATAGATAATTTCAAGGTTTGAATTAGAAATCAGAAAGGAGTCAAACCTTCTTCAAACCTTGGTTAAGTTTATATTTTAATATATAATGTTCATATTAACATATTATTATTTAACAAAGTATATAAATATTAATCATTTATATCACATTTATTGCTAATTTATTGTAGGGTAGAAGGTAGATGACAATTTTTTTTTTTATAAAATGACTGATATAGACACAAAAGGAAAATTCCTACTTAATGTTTTCTTTAAATGGATAGTGAAGTGGTAAATTTTGGGCATGGAAATTCACAAAATTTGAGTGCTGCATTGGATGGGTGGAGACTGGAGCATCAAAGCTGTTTACACCAAAAAGAAAATTATTAATTAATTACAAACCAGTAGGAAAGCTGACGTGGATTTCCTATATGCAACAAACTTACTCAAGTTAAAAATTGAAGGGCGATTCAGTTTCAGTTTCTGGCTCTTCTTTATATTCCCAATCTCCTTCCCATTACTTCTCCCCCATATCACTTCTTCTTCTTCTTCTTGGTGAGTTGTATAAACTAATAACACCGCAAAATCAAGAGAAAGTAAAGAGTTGTTGGGAGAGATCGCGTCCTCCAATGAAAAGAACAACAGCCTCAGTGAAATCACCTTTGATATATGTGAACAGCACCTGTGTCACAAACTCTGATATCCTCAGAACAACCCTTCAATGTAACAACGCGGCAGAAGCAGGCGGTTACGGCGGCGGTGGTGGATATGAAGGCTTAGATCAACGGCTCTTGTCCATGGTCTCGCCGAAATATAATCATAGGAGACATCGATTGATTTTACGGACTCTGGTCACTTCTTGAGAGCTTGTTGTCTCTGTAAACGTCGATTGGTGCCTGGCCGGACATATACATGTATAGGTACTCACTCTAATTCTCTCTCTTCTCTCCTCTCTCTCAAAGACTCAATAGCTTTCTTTCAGTCTGAGATTTGGTCTTCATATTTTCCATTCGAAGTCCACTCCTTTCTCATGGAATTGTTTTTCCTTCCCCTCTTTAAATATTTTCTTGTGAAAGTTTTTCACTTTTTTAGATTTTGTTACAGACATATGTTGAGATTTCATTAGATTTTAACTATCAATAAAACTTACATTGAGATTTTGGTATATCAAAACCTTACTATAAAAAGCTAATGTAATAGATGTAAATTGAGGGAGATTATCAATGTTCTTGTAGGGGAGATAGCGCCTTTTGAGCCTAGAGTGCAGGCAATCAGATGAATCAAGATGAGAGAAAAGAAAAGTTCTGTTTGCATCACAAAGAAACGAGCTGATCTCCCAACGGCGGATCCCAAGTGTCCCCCAAGAGTGGGACTGTGGCGGCTGGTAAACACTCGATCATCCGCCCAGAAAACACAAAAAACAAAAAGATTTTTAGCCGCTTATACATATCTAGACACCATTAATACGCGGGGCTGCTATAAATTAGCAAAAACTTAATCTGTATGCAAATGGATATTTGTCGAGTTGTTATCATATGTGAATCTGAGAAGCGCCTACAATATGAATCAGTCTGTACTTCTTCCTGTCTCCTACCTTTTGATGTGTTTCTAGCTAGTTTCAGACGAATTAAATTACAGATTCACAAGTTTTTCTCTCTCATTGTCAACTTGGTTTTTTACATCTGAATGGTGTTTATTTATTGATTACTTAAATTAATTTATTTTGAAGAGATTCCCATCGGGTTGGGTACCACCTGCCCACCACATGAAATGGAGTTGGAAAGAATTATTCGCTATCAAAATCAAAATTAGTTCCCGAAAATCACTCTTTGTTTATGTAGTTGTGCAAATTGAATTAGAATATTGCAAAACCCAGAATTATCTAAATATTCCAATTAAAAAGAAAAAAAAATTACCTGATGCATCAGGGTGAATATGAAAAAAACAGGGAGAACGACTTATACATACTCAATGTTTGTCGAAACGACAAATGGTATCCAAAAGGTTTTGAAACGACAAATTGGTACCTTCCGTCATGTTCTGTTAGTGATTTTCGTTTGATAATAGTGAAAGACTAAAATGCCCTTGAAAGTTTATTTTTAGTTTTTTATAAATTTAAATTTCTAAAAACCCCTAAGTTTGCTAATTTGACTAAATGACCCAATATATAAAATTTTATAATAACAAAAACACCCCGCCACCACAGTGCCGATTCCGGCCACCACCGCCGGAATCTGGCCGAAAATTGTGTACGACACAGAACCGTCGGATCTGTGTCGTACCACACCGATCTGGCATTTTCCGCCAGATCTACGTCTGCCTTTTTCGGCCTCGACCTAGTCTGGCCGGAAATCCAGATCGAGGTGTTACGACACAGATCCGATGGCTGTGTCGAACACAATTTTCCGGCAAGTTCCCGTCTCGACGGCCGTAGATCTGGCCTTTTCCGGCCAGACACCACGGATCTTGTCGGAAATGAAAGATCTACGCGTTACGACACAGATCCATGGGTCTGTGTCGTAATGCAATTCCGCCAGGTTCCGCGGCGGTGGCCGAATCTGGCACTGTGGGTGGCGGGGGTGTATTAGCTCATCATCCACTAAAAGTAGGAAAACTTTAAGAAAAAGACATCACTGATACAAGAAAGTGAAAGACATATATTAAGATTGTCAAAGATTGTATCATATCTACATTAAAAAAAAAAAAGAAAAAAAAGTGGACACCCAATATATCAATTGTACTTTAGAAGCCAGCCATGCAATAAAAATCTTATCAATATTTTTCCAGATGCTAGATCCTCGAATGTGCCCCGGATTGAGGTGCTGGAATTCTGCATTTAAAGCTATAAATTCATCGCTTTTAGCTATCTCATAAAGTTAAATATGCTATAAGTATGTGACTTTTACTCTACCCATAGCATATTCTCCATTTTTCAGGAACCCCAAGATATTGAGTGGTGAATACCTTTAATTAAATGTGACATTAGATATGATATCTGAAATCCTTCTGTAATTGAGAGCTTACTCAGATCCTCAACTTTCCACTTCATTTTTTGTATTCATTGTTGTTATCCAACTACTGTTACTGTAACAAATGTTAAATGAAAAATGGAATTTTTTAATGCAATATGACTATGTACTAAGAGACATCATAGTATCTAATAAAATTTTCTAAACTCAGTCACATGATCATACAAATGTTAAACAACATAGATATCTAGGCCGAAGCACAATTATATAATTGGTACCAGGTGACTGGTGTTTTCATTTGCAGGAAAATGAAAATAAAATCGAGGCTTACCATATTCTAATTGTTCAACAAAACAAACAAACAAATAAACAAATGAGCTTATCAATCGTATTGCGATTTCCCAGTCAAAGTTTTTAACCATAAACCTGATGAGAAGATTTAGAGAATAGTATGGAATGGTGATGGCGTGGTGGCAGAACAGATAAATTATGTGATAATATGGTTGGTTTGCAAGGGTATTAGCAGGCAGTTGCACGTGCAAGAAGATTATAATTATGTGAAATGAACCAATTCAAATTATGTTAAATGGAGACCAGGAGCTCGGCTCAATTCCCGAAATAATTGATACACGCAAATGAGCTCAGGAAAATGACTCATCACACGAGCAGAACGAATCCAGTAAGTGATGTAGCTGGATTTGAGGCGTTGTACAGAGCGATATTCTACTACCACCGTTCGATTCATTGCTAGCTGTAGTTGTCTTTTTAAATTTACAGGATCAAAGGAATAAGAAGAAGAAGAAGAAGGAGAACGCATCTTGAAGTTGATGAAGGTAAACAAAACAGTGGTCAAATTTTTCCATTTTTTGACGTAAAGGATGAAAAGACAGAGACGTGTCATCCTCTAAAGTCTATAATGATGCAATTGAAAGTTTTAACCAGTTCAGATTGGAGTCAGTTCCCAATAATTCAGTGAAGATGAAAAGACCAAAGACTGTTGTGTTGTCTATGCTCTATACTATAGTCTATACATGCAGCAGGCTGGAGGCTCAACCGAATGAATAATATACTTATATCATTCTTTTACATCATTTTCGTTATATATATATTACAATCATATAAATTTTTAATTATTTTTAATTTTTAATATTATAATAAAATTTATGTGATTGTAATATATATCACGTCATGATATAATAAAAATGGTATAAAAAAATAGTATAAATATAGCATTACTCCAACTTAATAGCATTGCTCGTTTGCTGGAGAGAGGTGCCCAGTTCTCGTTCTAAGGTCGATTGTCGCTATTTGTTTTTGTTTTTGTCTGGAGTGGATGTCAGTTTACACTTTACACGCATCTATATCTCTTATTATATTTTTTATTTTAAAAGGAATACAGTATATTTCGTATAAATAAAAAATATTTTTATTAATTTTTAAATATAAAAAATAAATTTTTTATTCAAATCTATTAGACTCTTTAAATTTAATTTTAAGAGAAAGAATATATTTTTTTAATAAAAAAACTTAATATGAGATATAAATCATAAATAAAATATATAAAAATTTGTTATTTATTATTTAAAATTAGGATAAAAGGTAAAATTTGACTCTCTAAATATGGAGAGTCAAACTCACTATTTAATTTATATTTAAAGGATAAAGAGTCTGTTAGACTCTTATTTCTATGGATAAATTATTTATAATAAAGAGTTTAGGTCATATAAAGAGTTATTGGAATATGTTCTTAATTAGTCTTCAAAGTTCATTGAATACCTTATCGATCCAAATGAGTAAGTCACAATATTATTGTGGTAGATAACTCCATATTTGAACCTAAAAACTTAAAAAAGAGAATAAACCTCATTGATCGTCAACCTAATCCTTGAGATTCACATCATACTTTGATTTCCTTGAAAATTGAAACCACATCCAATTAACATTGTTTTATTATAATTCTTACCAATATGCTTAGTTACCTGGGATTTAATGTAATTTAATTTTAACCCTGATGAATTATGCATAACATGTAATTTTAGGATTTTTTAATATGAGAGATATCTAACCTATGATATGAATAATGTCAGGCATACAAATTATATGTACAAATTTGCATGACAAAACAATTTTAAATTTCAAATTTTTTTTTTTTAATCAGAGTGTTTAAGCCAACTTATACGCATTTCAACTAATCTCCGAGGTTCATTGAATACTCTATAAACCCAAAAAATTAAGTAAGTTTTAATATTATTGTGATAGATAATTTCAAGGTTTGAATTTAGAAACTCAAGAAAGGAAGTAAACCTTCTTCAAACCCTTGGTTAAGTTTGATATTTTAATATATAATGTATCATATTAACATATTATTATTTAACAAAGTATATAAATATTATATCATTTATATCACATTTATTGCTAATTTATTGTAGGGTAGAAGGTAGATGACAATTTTTTTTTTTTTATATAAAATGACTGATATAGACACAAAAGGAAAATTCCTACTTAATGTTTTCTTTAAATGGATAGTGAAGTGGTAAATTTTGGGCATGGAAATTCACAAAATTTGAGTGCTGTCATTGGATGGGTGGAGACTGGAGAGCATCCAAAGCTGTTGTACACCGAAAAAGGAAAATTAATTAATTAATTAACAACAACCAGTAGGAAAGCTGACGTGGATTTCCTATAATGCAAAAAACTTACTCAAGTTAAAAATTGAAGGGCTCAGATTCAGTTTCAGTTTCTGGCTCTTCTTTTATATTCCCAATCTCCACTTCCCATTTACTTCTCCCCCAGTATCATCTTCTTCTTCTTCTTCTTCTTGGTGAGTTGTATAAACTAATAACACCGCAAAATCAAGAGAAAGTAAAGATGTTGTTGGGAAAGAGATCGCGTCCTCCAATGAAAAGAACAACAAGCCTCAGTGAAATCACCTTTGATATAGGTGAACCAGCACCTGTGTCACAACACTCTGATAATCCTCAGAACAACACCTTCAATGTAACAACGCGGCAGAAGCAGGCGGGTTACGGCGGCGGCGGTGGATATGAAGGCTTAGATCAACGGCTCTTGTCCATGGTCTCGCCGAAATATAATCATAGGAGACAGTCGATTGATTTTACGGACTCTGGTCACTTCTTGAGAGCTTGTTGTCTCTGTAAACGTCGATTGGTGCCTGGCCTGGACATATACATGTATAGGTACTCACTCTAATTCTCTCTCTCTTTCTCTCTCTCTCTCTCTTCAAAGACTCAATAGCTTTCTTTCAGTCTGAGATTTGGTCTTCATATTTTCCATTCGAAGTCCACTCCTTCTCATGGAATTTGTTTTTCCTTCCCCTCTTTAAATATTTTCTTGTGAAAGTTTTTCACTTTATTTAGATTTTGTTACAGACATATGTTGAGATTTCATTAGATTTTAACTATCAATAAAACTTACATTTTTGAATTTTGGTTGATTATCAAAACCTTACTATAAAAAAGCTTCAATGTAATAGATGTAAATTGAGGGAGATTATCAATGTTCTTGTAGGGGAGATAGCGCCTTTTGTAGCCTAGAGTGCAGGCAACATCAGATGAATCAAGATGAGAGAAAAGAAAAGTTCTTGTTTGCATCAGCAAAGAAACGAGCTGCATCTCCCAACGGCGGATCCCAAGTGTCCCCCAAGAGTGGGACTGTGGCGGCTGTGTAGAACACTCGATCATCCGCCCAGAAAAACAAAAAACAAAAAGGATTTTTAGCCGCTTATACATATCTAGGACACCATTAATACGCGGGGCTGCTATAAATTAGCAAAAACTTAATCTGTATGCAAATGGGATAGTTTCGAAGTTGTTATCATATGTGAATCTGAGAAGCGCCTACAAATATGAATCAGTCTGTACTTCTTCCTGTCTCCTACCTTTTTGATGTGTTTCTAGCTAGTTTCAGACGAATTAAAATTACAGATTCACAAGTTTTTCTCTCATTGTCAACTTGGTTTTTACTATCTGAATGGATGTTTATTTATTGATTACTTAAATTAATTTATTTTGAAGAGATTCCCATCGTGGTCTGGGGTACCACCTGCCCACCACATGAAATGGAGTTGTATAGAAGGGAGAACGACTTACATGTACCCAAGGTTTGTCGTAACGACAAGTTGGTACCCAAAAGGTTTTGAAACGATAAATAGGTACCTTCCGTCATATTCTGTTAGTGGTTTCTGTTTATTACTGTTTATTAATAGTAAAAAGACTAAAATGCCCTTAAAGGTTTGAATTTTAGTTTTTTATAAATTTCTAAAAAATCCCCTAAGTTTACAAATTTAACTAAATACCCCAATGTATAAAATTTTTGTAAAATAACAAAAACACCCCCGCCACCTGCAGTGCCAGATTCCGGCCACCACCGCTGGAATCTGGCCGGAAAGTTGCGTTACGACACAGACCCGTCGGATCTGTGTCGTGACGCGTCGATCTGGCCTTTTCCGGCCAGATCCGTGGCTGATCTGGCCGGAAAAGGCCAGATCTATGGCTAGATCTGTCCGTCGACGCCGCAAAACTCCATCTGCGGCGTCGACGGCCAGATCTGGCAGTAGATCTGGCCCTTTCCGGCCAGATCAGCCACGGATCTGGCCGGAAAAGGCCAGATCTGGCTGTTGCTTCGACGGCCAGATCTTGCCTTTTCCGGCCAGATCCGTGGCGGATCTGACCGGAAAAGGCCAGATCGGCACGTTACGACACAGACCCGACGGGTCTGTGTCGTAATGTAGTTTTTCGGCCAGATTCCGGCGATGGTGGCCGGAATCTGGCACTGGGGGTGTTTTTGTTATTTAACAAACTTTTTATATATGGGGGTGTTTAATTAAATTAGAAAACTTAGGGGGTTTTTTAGAAATTTTTAAATTTATAAAAAACTAAAATTGAAACTTTGAAGGGCATTTTAGTCTTTTCACTATTAATAAACAGAAACCAATAACAGAATATGACGGAAGGTACCTATTTGTCGTTTCAAAATCTTTTGGGTACCAACTTGTCGTTACGGTAAATCTTGGGTATGCACAAGTCGTTCGGCCTTGTATAGAATTATTCGCTATCAAAAATCAAAATTATGTTCCCGAAAATCACTCTTTTGTTTATGTAGTTGGTGCAAATTGACAGTAGAATATTGCAAAACCCAGAATTATATACATAAATATTCCAATTAAAAAGAAAAAAAAATTATTCTGATGCATCAAGTGTGAATATGAAAAAACAATGAAAAGATTATGAAATACTTATAAATAATATAAAATAAAAGATTCTTAAAATGTGTATGACTGTAGTCTGTCTGATTTGTGGTGATGAATGGAATCTGGAGCCAAGTCAGCTTTGCATGGAGTAGGTCCCATTTTGCACAATGCAAGGAAAATAAAAGAGATTCGTTTTTTTTTTTTTTTTTTACTGATTCTGGTGGTGAAAGTGGGACCACCATAAATGAAAAAACAAGTGTCCCCACACTTTTTGTCAAGTGGACCAAAAAATTGACTCCACATGATTTCTGATCATTTTAACCCTGGCGAAGTCACATTCTCTCTCCTCTTTATTTTTCTTCTTTCCACATTTAATTTAATTAATGGTCAACTATTCAACTTCTTTTTCTTGATCATTTTGACGATTTTCTGGTTAATTTCATTTGGGTTTTTTTATTTTTTTATGAATAATTATTCTCATTCATAACAACAAATAATATATATTTTTATAATAAATACACAATGGTATATTTGCATTACTTCTTATGTTCTCCATATAATTGCATATATTCTCTTCCAATTTAGTCTGTCGATTTTTTTTTAAATTTTTTTAATTATTGAATTGTCCTAATTTTGCTTTTTCTTTTTTTTTTCTTCATCTTCATTTGGTGCTTTATCGTTTGTTTTGATTTTGACAAAGCAATCATTCCACCATCGCCATGGAGATAATAGCTACATCAACACAAAGCAACTTCATCTTCACTGTACAAAAATATCTCGCCATATCAATGACGCAATTCGAAGATTTCAATTATCAAAAAAGCCATGAAAATACTTTTCGGAAATTGAGTTTGGTATACAATTGCCTTCAATACCCGGTTGCTCAGAATCAGGAAACAATTGGGGAAGAAGCTGTAGTTAGAAAAAGAAAACTTTATTTGTAAGTTACTTACTTTAATTAGCTCCTGATATATAATTTGCTTTCTGTTAACATCATTTTATTTAGATTAACACCAACTTGTGCAAGTGGGCACCGGTCTGATCAGGCGACGCTAATACTCTCATCAACCCAAACCCACTAATTATGTCTTGATCAATCAATCCCACCTTTCATTTTTTGAAAAAAATAATATCAAGTGTCCTGTGTCACTGGCTGGTGTCATTCTTCTTGTTGGGGCATCCACTTTGGCCGACCAATTAGAACCTGTTTCCAACTCCATTTCTCAGCCACCGCCACCGCCACCGCCAATGCCTAATGTTTTTGTGATATATTAATATTCTCGATATATATATTATTATTGCTATCGTCATCGAATTTATTATAATGTATGTTTTCTTTTCATAAATTAGTATTTCCGTTTGGGGAGGGTCAATCTATCTCATTAAAATATATTAATAAGGGCAAAGACATCTACCATGATAGTATGTATGAATAAGAGTAATCTTCCTATTAATTATTACAAATTTACTTTCAAATGGATTTTTCTTAAGATTAATCGACTCGAAGTTCAGGAATATTGCTCATATTTTCGATTCAAACAAGAAGTTTGCAGTGTAATTTCCAATGGCTTTGATTGACAACATATTTCTTGAAAATATGAACTATATATATGTTGATGATGTAAATCTACTATTTGACAGGATCTCAAGTTAATATAGACAAATTTTAGCAATCCTATGTGTTTATTCATTAGAAAAAAAAAAAAAAAAAGTTAAGATATAATGAGTTTTAACCCCAAGTCCTTATAGTGGTTGACCCCAAATAGTGTCGAATGTGTTCTTAAAATGAACGGTGAAGAAGAAGAGAAGATGATTAATTGTGGCATAGGCGAAGGCGATTGGGTCTCATAAGTCACCAGCATTGATAACCTTACACCTAGCAGAAGCATTAAACCGCCCAAATGCAAGTTTTTTTATATTGTCAATGTCAACCACTGGTTTTATTTGTAATGTTATTTTCAGCCTCAATCCCAGTTGTTTGGATCTGTCCCACAAATTAAAACTTTCCATGACTTTTCCAAAGTTCAAGAGTTCTCTCTTTGGTCGATCTATTCCCCACTTCACAACTTGGGAGAAATTGATAATAATAATTAAAAAAAATGGCACAAATTCCTTCCCAATTTCGTATTCTGAATATGTAGTAAATTACTTTTGTAGATTGAAATACTCTCACTTCAAACCGAATACTTGGCTTGTCTATTTTTCATTTAAACTAATTTAAATCTCAATATAATGGAACTTCAAAATTTAAATACAAAAAATAATAGTAATGATCTAATTAATTGTATATACAAACTATAAAACTCTGGTCAAATTTACAGTTTCCAAATTCAATTACTTTGATGAATTATCAAATTTTAAATTAATTAGTTTTCCAACTAATGGTAGTTCAATATTATTAAGGTGTGTTTGGTTCAAAGAATATTGTATTAATAAGAATGTTATATTACTAGAAAGATATATTACCTTGAAAATTATTGAGAATGTTTAAGGAAATATGTTTAGTTAGGTTTGAATAAATTGGTGAGTATGTTATATTGATATATTTGGTTGAGTGGATAAATTGGTGGGTATGTTATATAGATTACTAAATTGTCATCCTTTTTAAATATTAATATAATATTATTTTTTTGAATCATTTTATTTAACCCCCTTACATTTGAAATTTTGCTAAAACACTACAGCTTATATAAAACTTTAATTTATAACAAAATCACCCCTACCCTCCCCTAGCCATTGTCAGCCGCCAGCCACCATCGCTGGCCGCCATCGACAGTGGCCGGAATGGCGCATGATCGGTTGAATCTGGTCGACTGTGAGCCAATCTGGCTATTTACAACAAAATCCATCATAGATCTAGTGAAAATGGTCAGATCTACGGCTAGAACTGGTCATCGTTAATGGCTAAAGTTCTGGACGTTGATGGCCAGAGTTTTGGCCATTGATGGCCACAATCTAGCTGTCAACTACGGCCAAATCTATTTGGCTATCTGGCTGTTTTTGGCAGATCTGATTGGTCGTGCGCCTTTTCGGAGCTGCCGGTCGACAGTGGTGGCCAGATCCAGCTACCCCCTTGGGTAATTTTTTTTTTAAATTCTTGGGGTATTTATGTCCTAAGCATTTTGTATATAATGATGTAATAGTCCATTAATATTTTTGTAAATTATTTTTAAAACAATGGCATTATTGTCCTAAAACTTTATTAATAAAGGGTAAAATTGTAACAAAATTAAGATTATCAAATAATCTTAAAATATCTAGGAAAATTGAGATAATCAGATTATCTCATATGTTACCAACAGTAATTACTATTGGTTTTGGAAGATTATTGAAATCTTATATTACTTGACAATCAAATACGATAATAAAATAATATAAGATGACATTATCTCAGTAATCCCTATTACCCCCAACCGAAAACTCCCTTAGAGTGATTAGTGTTGACTTGATGGTCATGGACAAGCTAAGCTGTACTACTTGAATATCGATCATTGAATAGAAATATGCAGAAGAGGAGTGACCATTTACACATGGAAGTGGTGAGTAATGTAATGGGCAGAATTGTGGAGATACATAGACAGTAGAGAAAACGACATTGTTGNGTCCTTATAGTGGTTGACCCCAAATAGTTTCGAATGTGTTCTTAAAATGAACGGTGAAGAAGAAGAGAAGATGATTAATTGTGGCATGGGCGAAGGCGATTGGGTCTCATAAGTCACCAACATTGATAACCTTACACCTAGCAGAAGCATTAAACCGCCCAAATGCAAGTTTTTTTATATTGTCAATGTCAACCACTGGTTTTACTTGTAATGTTATTTTCAGCCTCAATCCCAGTTGTTTGGATCTGTCCCACAAATTAAAACTTTCCATGACTTTTCCAAAGTTCAAGAGTTCTCTCTTTGGTCGATCTATTCCCCACTTCACAACTTGGGAGAAATTGATAATAATAATTAAAAAAAATGGCACAAATTCCTTCCCAATTTCGTATTCTGAATATGTAGTAAATTAGTTTTGTAGATTGAAAGACTCTCACTTCAAACTGAATACTTGGCTTGTCTATTTTTCATTTGAACTAATTTAAATCTCAATATAATGGAACTTCAAAATTTAAATACAAAAAATAGTATTAATGATCTAATTAATTGTATATACAAACTATAAAACTCTGGTCAAATTTACAGTTTCCAAATTCAATTACTTTGATGAATTATCAAATTTTAAATCAATTAGTTTTCCAACTAATGGTAGTTCAATACTATTAAGGTGTGTTTGGTTCAAGGAATATTGTATTAATAGGAATGTTATATTACTTGAAAGATATATTACCTTGAAAATTATTGAGAATGTTTAGAGAAATATGTTTAGTTAGGTTGGAATAAATTGGTGGGTATGTTATATTGATATATTTGGTTGAGAGGATAAATTGGTGGGTATGTTATATAGATTACTAAGTTGTCATCCTTTTTAAATATTAATATAATATTATTTTTTTGAATCATTTTATTTAACCCCCCTACATTTGAAATTTTGCTAAAACATTACAGCTTATATAAAAATTTAATTTATAACAAAATGACCCGTACCCTCCCCTAGCCATTGTCAGCCGTCAACCACCATTGCTGGCCGCCACCGACAGTGGCCGGAATGGCGCACGACCGGTTGAATCTGGTCGACTGTGAGCTGATCTGGCTATTTCCAACAAAATCCATCATGGATCTAGTGAAAATGGCCAGAACTGGTCGTCGTTAATGGCTAAAGTTCTGGTCGTTGACGGCCAAATCTATTTGGCTGTCTAGCTATTTTTGGCAGATCTGACCGGTCGTGCGCCTTTTCGGAGCTGGCGGTCGACAGTGGTGGCCAGATCCAGCCACCCCCTTGGGTAATTTTTTTTAAATTCCAGGGGTATTTATGTCCTAAGCATTTTGTATATAAGGATAAAATAGTTCATTAATATTTTGTAAATTGTTTTTAAAACAAGGGCATTATTGTCCTAAAATTTTATTAATAAAGGGTAAAATTGTAATAAAATTAAGATGATCAAATAATCTTAAAATATCTAGGAAAATTGAAGTAATCAGATTATCTCCTATGTTACCAATAGTAATTACTATTGGTTTTGGAATATTATTGAAATCTTATATTACTTGACAATCAAATGTGATAATCAAGTAATATAAGATGACATGATCTCAATAATCCTTATTACCCCCAACCGAACACTCCCTTAGAGTGATTAGTGTTGACTTGATGGTCATGGACAAGCTAAGCTGTACTACTTGAATATCGATCATTGAATAGAAATTATGCAGAAGAGGAGTGACCATTTACACATGGAAGTGGTGAGTAATGTAATGGGCAGAATTGTGGAGATACATAGACAGTAGAGAAAACGACATTGGTGTCAAGTTTCCACAAATAAGAAGCCAGCTAGAAGAGTAGTGTCTGGAAGCAATGAAGTCGATCTTGGATGCAGTTTTTAGTGTGGACCATTTTCATCAGCTAGCTTTGAAGAATTAGGTATGATACGTGCATTACAGATATGGGTGCGGCTGTTAGTGTTGAAGAAGACAAAGAGTTGAAGAGTAGTTGCACATACAATTATTGATGTTGTGATAGCTAGTTCCCTCAAAACAAATTAATATTGATATGGGGTCTCCCATGCCCCATAAAATTTCATCGCATGCCAAACATGGGGATGGAATTCATGCGCGGACGAGCTTTGTCTGGTATCAGTATTCACTATTCAGTAGAGGTGGTGGATAGAATTGCAAATGTTGGTCCACAGATGGGGAATGAGTATGACAGATAAGAATGCTTCTCCACTCATTAAAAACGTTACTTGGATTTCTCAAGCTCCATTCCATTGCTTCCATTATTGGAGACTCTTGTCTTCTGCTTCCCCTTTTTATGAATCTCAACGACATCAATTCACACTACTCTTTTGTGTTAAAGGAGTACACCCCATGAATGATTTAACTTCTGATTTTGGTTTTGCATTGGTTTTTTTTTTTTTTGGGAATCTGATATAGTTTTATGCTTAATAAGATATGCTGTTATTGCATCAGGAGAGTGTAACATTTCATTTAATCCATACAAATCTAGTTATTCAAGATATAATTAAACTCGGTTCGGCTCCGAATAAACATGACATGAGTTAATTATTTATGCTACCATATATTGAATATTTACATGCTAACGCCTGTATTAGAGACCAGCCCATCATGCATTGCAAGCGGTAGATAACCGCCCAAATTTTAGGCCCAAGTTCCAAGGGCAGCTAGATTTGTTGCGACCCAACAGTAGGCCCGATCCACTATTATTGAACAACTCCCAGAAATTCATGCGTAGTGCTTTACTTAAAACATTAGGAGAGCCATCAGCCATGATATATTTGCTAAATCAATTAAGGCATAGATATAGAGAGTGAGTTGAACTGAGAATACATTATTAGCGAAATGGCAATAACCGCTGAGATTTACTTTTAAGATACGATAGCAGTAGAAGCTGTTTTTAAAGAGTTGAAACCAAATTAAACATTTAATTTTTAGAATTTCTAATGTTTGATTGGATGAAACTTAAGAGATAATGATTAGAAATATCAATAACAACTTTCCCCTTTGAGTGCGGAATCCAACTTCCAGTAGAGAGATAGCAGGAGAATTTTGAACTGAAATGTTATCTTCTCATCACCCTGTATTTAAAAACACTTAAAAAGTCTTAAATTAACCCACTGACAAGTCCTTCTTAGATTAACTTGGCGGCTGCATTTATTGTCACTGTACAATGGCGAGAAACCTCTTGGCAACATGCTTAATGTTGGTAACTACATGGGCTGCAGTGGCTAGTGGTGCTCGCACAACTCATGTATCACCAGCTCCTGCTCCATCGTCAAAAACGGATTGCTCCAGTATCATTTATAACATGGCGGATTGTATACCATTTTTGAGTAAAGGGAGTAAAGATACGAAGCCAGACTCTTCTTGTTGCACTGGATTTAAATCGGTGCTGAAAGTAAATGCTGATTGCATTTGTGAAGCGCTTAAGAGTAGTGCTTCTTTGGGCATTGATTTGAATATGACTAAGGCCTTCACTCTCCCTTCAGCCTGTGGGGTGTCTTCTCCTTCCATTAGTAAATGTGGCGGTGAGTTTAATATTTGTTTTGTTATAATATCTTGCTTGTTTATTTATATAATTATTTATTAATTTTTTATGCAGTTCCTTCCCCTCCTGGTGGAGCTCCAGGTATGATAAAATTTATCCTCTCTATGTCAACCTTGATTCAATTTTGACGATCTTAACTTAATTTTGTATTTATATATAATATCGTCTGTATATACGACTTTTTCTCATTTATGTTTGCCGAGTGACATCAATACATTGAATCTTTTTTGGTAAGATAGAGATAGAATTAGTCCATAAAATAATGTTATTAATAATAGTTAAAAAATGAATATTATAAGTTGGTCAAGTTATTCATGCTCGAGTGCTAAGTCTGACTGACTAAATAAGATGAACATCATTATCACATTGAACTAAAATTAATACTACTCTGAGAAGCCATTTTTTAATATTTGAACTGCGTGCAGTTAAACCTCCGTCAATACCAAAGCCGTCACCAGTACCACCAAAGAAGACTCCAACACCAGCACCCTCAGAACCCTCAGGCCAAACTCCGGCACCAGCGCCGTCAGCACATAGTGGAAGCTATAGCACTTTTGCTTCATTCAAAGTTATTATTATCAGTGCAGTTGTTGCTTTCTTCTTCTGAATTGTCTGAGTTTTGATTCCTTAGTGGTATTTATTTGCTTTTCTCTAAAAGAGTAGTGAATTTAGTCTTTTGTCTATGCTTAGTTAGTTCCATTAGACACCATTGCTTGTTCATCTTTCATCCACTATTATATATAACAGTACTAGTTTGAGTTTTTTTTTTTTAACTTAATTTGTGCCATCCAAAATGAATGCCCCCTTTTATTAATTATTATAAAGGATGACACCTCTCTCCTTCATTTATTTTGGTAATAAGTGGCAAGAAATCTAGCGGTATACGGGAGACAGTTGAGTGGAAGGTGTCCAATCACCAAATTAAAATGGTGAGGAGTCGTGGAGTACTGTAGTCATGAAAGAGAATGGTTTTGGGTAAACATTGTCATTAATAGAAGAAGCATAGTAGGTTAGGAAACAAACATTTAATAACAAATCAAATCATAAACCAAAATGAAAAATGAAAAATGTTAAAAACACCCATATAAAAATCACGCTTTCATCCAAATAGCCAGATACCCCACAGAACCCATATAAAAGTTGAAAAACGTTAAAAATACCCATATGAAAGTGAGAGAAAAAAGGAATGGAATTTAGCATGAAAAGGAGGAATAGGTGTTGGTAGGCGGTAGGTTGGATAAGAGGTAGTCAGGCCACGAGAATGAGATGGATGGGACGGCTATATTTCTCATAATTTTTGCACACTAAATTATTTCATTTTATTTCCTGAAGAAAGTGATACCTTTTTTCTCTTCTGTCCTGTTTATGGCCACATTTGTTTTTTTTTTTTTTTTTTTTTATAACTCAATTCTATAACTATTGATATTTTTTATAACTGGATCTTACAACCTGATATGACAGTTTATCATTAGTTAGCTCGTAAAATAAGTTTTGTCTGTTTGTATAGTTCTATCTATCTATTTACAAGCTAACTAAAAATGAGCTATTACGTCTATTTAACATTATTGTTTTTTTACACTTATCCATTACATATGTTTAAGTTGTTAAAATATGTAGTAAACGAATCTAATCTTTATTAAATTAATTGATGTAGTTGAGAGTATATCTTATTGTAGCAATTAGCTCATGTTGGGCAAATACCCATAATTACTTGACGAAGAGTGGCATCTGCAAGGGCTGCAAAAGAAATTAAGCAAGGTGACATAAAAGAGTAAAGATGATGATAAAATTAGAGTGAGCGGTCAAGAATTCAAGATAGATAATTAGAAGGTGTTAAAATATCATTGTCGAGAAGGCATGCGAGATTAGAATATATGGGATGGTGTGGGGGCTTTACATTTCTTTTCTTCCATTCCAACTGGTCCAAGTCATATATTTTGAGCTTTAAACGTGAATGGACTGCTTTATATATTATTCTCAAACCAACAATATTTGAATAAGTCTTATCTTATTTCAATATTTTGTTGATTTTTTAATGTCACTTTTGATTAGTCCATTTTTTTCTTATTAGATTATGTATGATTTTCAAACCATTCATTTACTCTTCTACAAATTATTTTATCATTTGTTTGGTACTACCTACTTCCATAGAGTTTACATAATTAGACTTTTAGAAAATTATAAGTTTTTTTTTGTTGATATATTATCAGTTGTTTGATTATATAAACAGAAAAAAGATTAGGTGTAATATTTAAATTGAATCTGTGAACTTCTAAAACAATTTTTTTATCAAGTTACAAAATAGACTTTCTGGTAGTAAAAAACACTATTATAAGTAGTAGATAATGAGTTATCATGGGTATTTGAAGTTATACACTATTGGAATATCTGTCTTATCGTTAATAAGACGTACCTTAATTTGATTTAATTTAATAAATTATCTTCTATAAAGCCCTGCTTATAATATATGATTTTAGGTCCAATAGATCCCATGATTGCTGAGTAAAAGTTTAAGAATTTAACGTGATTGTGAAAGATATTATTATACAATAATTAAGTTGATAAGCTTAAATTATTAGGCTAGGGATCAAAGCTTTAATATATTATCCCAATTGTATATAATTATAATAAAGGTTAAACACTCATAACCCACCCTTCTACAGTTATTTAAATATCTCTTTCCTCATTAAAGTTAAAATAAAAATCTTAATTTCAATAATATCAAAACATATATATTTTTTTATTGAAACAAATCTATAGTTAAAATACGGAAGAAATCTATATGCATTAAAATAATTATTTACGAATCACTACATCATGTAATAGTTAATTAAGATCTTTGAACGCATTACTCAAGTATTCTTAAGTTTGATTTATTCTAATTGTTAATAAAGGTAATCATTGAGAATATTTATTCAATTGTCAATTTTAAGACTCTGAAAAAATTAGTTAAGGTATGTTTAAATTTGCCAAAAAAAATCCCGTAAAAAAAAAAAAAAAAAAGAAGCAATATGCCTATATGCGTTCCATTTATAAATTGATGCCACGCGGCACACAACAACCAATGAAGCAGGGTTAAAACAGAAACACTTAACGTAATGAGATGGTTTTAATTTTTAACCTGATTTCATATGGAAGGAGAAGGTTTTTGTTTCCAATAGAATGAAAATAAGGGTTTGTCAATCTTGATGACTTGGTTAAAGAAAAGAGAAATGGACAGAATCAGAATTGGCTAAGTTAGAAGTTAGACCTAACTACCAACCATAACCAAACAGACTAAACCCTCCATGCAATATTAATTATAATATTAAAATCATCCACCTACGCATGCCTTTCCATCTCTTCTGCTCCTCAATTTCAATTTCTCTTACATACCCATTCAAACCCAATTGTTATTTTATGAAATGGCTGTTCTGGCTTCAGATTTTCCAGATCATAGACGGGTTGTTGACGCAACGCCATCCAACTCAAAGTCAAACCCCTCAACAACCCCTCCCGCAAAAAACAAAAAAAATTCATTTTCTTTTTAATATTATTCAGATTTTGATTTCAATTTTCAGGGTTCTTCAGTCATAATTGTTGAATGGTAATATTAAAATTGAAAATAAAAAGAGGGTAGATGGGAACGTTTCCTATTGCAGATATATATGGAATGGGAAAGTGTAATTGTAAATACCAACAAGTTGAAGTTGAAGAAGAAAAAGGAGGAGACGAAAGAAAGAGGCGTTGTTGTTGTGCGGTGTGGCAGATGCAGGTACCACGTGCAAGCGAACTCATTAAAAGCCGTTAAAACTTAACAGCCCCACCTTCCCCTAACTCAAACCTACCTCTCTACATTTTCCTTTAAACTATCACTTCATCTTTCTTACATTACATTCTTCTTCATCTTTCTAACATAAACCTCTTCACGGAATCCACAAACAAACACTTAACTACTTTCTGTCTTGTCTTAATTCTATTCCCAATTCTCTCTTTCTCTCTAATTCTTTGTGCCCAGAAACAGAGTTTGAACCCAATTTGATCTCAGCTTCTTGAATTTTGTGTTCTCCTTTCAGGTTCATTACTTTCTTACTCTATTTCTAACTGGGTTTTTATTTTTATTTTTTAAAATTTTTTGTAAGCACGGTGTTTGTAGCTTGAGTATGCTAGTTGGGTGTGATTCTGAATTGTGTTTGAAGCTTCTTTGATTGAGGTTTTGTTTGTAGTTGATGTTTTATAATATACTTTTTTCACTTTTGTTGAGTTCATGGGGTTCTTTTTTAAAGTGAAAACTTTTTCGTTGAAATCAATGTTTATGTGATCCTGCATGTTAGGCACCATAAAGATCATTATTGTCTTGATAGATACGTTTATCTTTTAGGCTTCTCATGCTATTGGTAGTCTTTTTTGCTATCTATTTGAAGCCACCAGTAAAAGTGTTACTCATAAAGAAAGGGAAGATAGAAGAATTTCTGCATCTTTTTTCGAAGTTTCTTAAATGGATTTATTTTAGCGGAAATGGGAATTGTTTGCAGCAAATTCTTATGTATTCTTCTTTAGATTCCTATCATTCTCTAAAACTGAATTTGATTGGTTGCACAAGGAATTGGATGTTTCATTAGGATGCCAGTAGACTTGGAATATACTTGTGATTATATATACATACGCATACAAAAACTTTTCCGCTGAAGAAATATGTGTTATTAGTGTCACACAATTGAAGTTTAATTCTAAATCCACTTTTGTGCTACCAAACACAGCCTTAGTACAATATCTTGAATTCTTTGCACTTAGAAGTTCACCTTTGCTGTTGAATTGAGCCTGCTTTTAGTTGGTTTGATTTTGGGGTCAAAGTTCAAGTCTTATCATTCTCTAAAATAAATTGTTGGAAGTTCAGTTACGAGTGGGGATCATTTTATTTAAATTATTTGTATGCCTGTGTCAAAAACCAATCTGATTAGAACAACTTGATATTATTATTATCAAAGTTTGTGTTTCCAGCAGGTTGACCTTACCCTTTTTGGTATTGCAGGATGTCAGAAGCCCAAAGGAGATCACTAATGGCACTTGGGCATGCCAACGGATTAATGAATGGGGTAGTTCCAATTAGGAGCCCTGCAGCTATATCTGAAGTAGATGAATTCTGTCATTCCCTTGGAGGGAAGAAGCCAATACATAGTATTTTAATAGCAAACAATGGAATGGCAGCTGTCAAGTTTATGCGAAGTATTAGGACATGGGCTTATGAAACTTTTGGCACAGAGAAAGCAATCCTATTGGTTGCCATGGCTACTCCAGAGGATATGAGAATCAATGCAGAGCATATAAGAATTGCTGATCAGTTTGTGGAAGTTCCTGGTGGGACAAACAACAATAACTATGCTAATGTGCAGCTCATTGTAGAGGTGTGTATATTAGAATCCATAAAACATATGCACTTTCAATTTTGTCCCTGAAGAAAAAAAATCCAACTTGGTTAAAATAGACTATTAGAGCAAGAAATTTCATTAGGTTACGTTGCTGATCCCATGCTTTTAATGCAAGTAATACAATTTAGTGATTTAAAGGTGAAAATTTTCCGAGCTAAATTTTTGTACAAAAGAAATGAGTTGCGTACTGAGCTATCTA